TAATGCTCCGCAAACGACGTTTGAATAGGCATCATATTATATACATATAAACGTCAATGGAGCAGTCGCACCCTCTCGCATCATCGTGATGTATTTCATGCAAATGTTACAAGCGTTAACTCGATTTTTATCAATTAAATTGCGATAGAGGTGGGACGAAAAGAGAGAGAAAGAGAGAGAGAGAGAGAGGGAAAATTGATTGAAATGCATCGCTTCCTCTGCGCCGGCCGCGATGTAAAATGCAGCGAGACACGAAGGGCAATTCGCGGCTCTCTCTCTCACTGTTGAAAGATTTAGAATCGATGTCTCGGCTAGTAGCCCACCCACGAGGAGAGAAGGATAGGCGGCGTGCATAAATTTCAGGGATAGCAGACAGACGAAGAGGCACTGCACGCACACGAGAGAGAGAGAGAGAGAGAGAGAGAAAGATGGCACGCCGAGCATTAAAATTCCGAGCGCCTCCTGAAATAATGATCGACGAGCTTTTCTCCTTTGCGCACTCCTGCGCACCGCACTGTCTCTTTTCTGCGGGCATATACCTATACGTTTGATATGGCAGAGAAAAATTATGAGCGCTGGAATGTGCTCATAAATATTTGAAGGTTCTTTGTCTCGTGCTTTATTTTGCTTCTCGGGAGACGAAGCTTTGTTACAAGCAAATTTGTCGAGTAAAAAATGGTATTGTTAAAAAAAAATACACATGCATTTATGTGTGTACATACAATTATGTGAAACACTGTCGACGTACTTTGGATTATAAGCTATATTAACTGTAGATACTAATGCCGTCTCCTTTTTACTAGTTCAAGCATACAAAAAACAATTACAAATGTCGTAGTCTTTTAGAAATTCTAATCCTTTTTAGAAATTCCACAATTAGTATCACTCCGATCGAGTGCAAAACGGAATTGTAAGTGTGAAACATCGAGAAAAGGAGGAAAAGCAGACGCGGCTGATTTAGGTCGTCGTGACTGGCGCACGCATGAGAATTGAGGCGCGAACTGAAGGCATTATATGTGTGCGTGTGTGTGTATCGCAACACTCCAAGGAAATAACGCTGCGGATGTCAGACGCAGGCTTACAGCCCAAAGGTGTAAGTATATATACGCACCGAATACATCCTCTCTCTCTCTCTCAAGAAACAACGACTCACAATTATGTATGCGAGCTGGTGTAATTGTCTTGCATTTCAATGTTATTCAATCTCGACGAGAGAACGAAAAAGAAAAGCGCGTAATTAGCATGTCTAGCTCGCAAAGGCGGTAAAAAAGAGAAGGCTACAGCAGCTGGCCGCCACGAGGTATAAGGTTTTTGGCCAACACACAAGTACACACGCGGCAAGACGTGTTTCTCCTTAGTATACCTTTGCGGAGGCCGCCCCCGAGGGATTAATCACCGAGCATTATGGCGGCGCCGGCTGAAAAGCACCTACACACACTCATACACACACAGAGGAATTAGCTGCGAGAGATTAAACGAAGAAGAGAATGATCGAAGCCTCGATAACGGCAGTGCCGATAAGAGCCCGCATACGAGACAAGATTTTACGTAGTGAAGAAAAACAAATAGGTAGTTTTTCGCGCTACGCGCTCTGACATTTAAATGTTGCCCGGTAGCCTGTGATTTGGATAAGCAACGAAGACGAAAACACGCGCACGACAGGCTTGCTGTTTTCTTATCTTTTCCTGTTTTTACCGAACACACGTACCGTGTGTATGTGTACGTGCGCGCGCGCGCGTGAAAAGGCCGCGAGTGCGCGATGTATTTTCCTAGTGACTCACATTCGAGAAAGCTGAGTTGAGTTAGCTCTATTTCACCATGGAGTGGAATCCCGTCTGGTGTGTTCGAAATACAACAGAGTTTTACAGCAGTTGTACGTTATTTACAACTAATTTACCGCATCGCTTAAGATATACTTGTGTAAAGCCTCTATAACAGAGCTAAATATTTAAATACAATTAAAACTAGGATAAAAGCTGGTCTAATAGATAATAACGTGAAATACGATTAGACTATGAATAATAACAACGGATGTAAAATAATAGTGAATGCTGAATGGAAAAATGTTGACTTGCGATTATAAAAAGAGAGAACGTCAATCCGCTATCAGCTTTTCATTTTTCTCTGCGTAAAAAAAATATTTTACAAGTGATGTTCTTGTTTTTCTTTTATTCGTCAGGGCTGCGAATGAAACGTAGGATATGAGGAAAGGAAATTTGATATTTGATCGATTGCGAGTCTGTAATGTCATTACGGAATCAGGGCATGAACTAGCTCGAGTTAGTGAATATATATCAAAAGTTCGATAAAGGCTCAATGAAACGAGAGAAGAGAAAATGGAAAAACGAAGACGTCGGATGGAGTTATGACGAAAAAGAGGAAATGAGCGAAGAGAAAGTCTTAAAGGAGCTATGAGTAGAGAAAAACGGATTAAAATTAGTCGGGCAATCGTAATTCAGTCTCTATATATCTAACGGAGTAACGTCGGCTTTAATGAGTGCATAAACGGCGGCGAAAGAAGAAAAGTCAAGACGTGAGATAAATGGCAAGTGTTCGCGCTGTTTTTAATATAGCCACTTGCACTTTGTGTCTTCTCTAATAAACTATTTACACCTCAGTTAAAAATAGGAAGATAGATCAATTTCAGGCTAATCGACTTGCTTTATTTTAAATATCACAAAAAAAAAACAATCTAAACTTATTACTAATATATAATGATTAATCTGGCAAATTTTAATATTTTTCATTTCTTAAAAAAGTGATGGTCTGGAAAGTGAATGCAATTTATCCGTGTAGTTTAATTGTCCGAAGAATAATAGTCACGTCATCAGCTCATATGTGATAGTATATACATATGTTTTGTACGCACATGAAAGATTACTGCAGATTTTCTGAGATGATTAAACATTCGAAAAGTGTATCTGTATAGCTGGTACGAATTAAATATTAACTGATTGATTTATTCATACTAATCTCAAAATATCAACCGTGTGATACCTTGATAAAGAAATTAACTGAACCTCATTCTAATATGCCAAAGATTAGCTTCGATTAAACGAAGTAGACAATAAAAGATATATACCGCAGATTATCACAATAAAATAGTATACAGTGATTTCGGGTTCATTCAGTTACATAAAATCAATATTTTATTTTATAAATTTTTTTTGAAAATGCACTAATTACAACTGTGAACCTCTACCGGAGTATGTTGTTTACATCATGAAGGATGTGATTATAGAAAACTTATATTACTTTTTTAGTCGTGTTTTTGAAACATTTGGTGATTTTTCAATACAGAACTTCGGATGATAAAAACTCAAAATTCCGCTGATAACATTTTTCAATCATGAATATCAAAGTAACTGCATATTTATTTTTCAAGAAATAATATCGTTGGTTATATCTTACATCAAATCATGGGAATATTTAATATATATTGAATTTTCAATTCCGCGAATAAAAGTTTTGATTTATATTCGTGCATTAAAATGAATGCAAGAATAAAATGAACAAGATGAACGTGAGAAGTGCGCAGGACTAGTATTCTTTATAATAACTCGTAACGAGTGTATGTGACACGACTGATAAAAACAAAAAAGCTCGCAAACTCATGTAGTTGTTTCACAATCAGTTATACACTCTTATGGGTTGATAAAAGTATCTAACAATGTTATTAGGATATACGCCAGTCATGAAACGGTGTATGAATAGTTGTAGTACATAGACTATTCACGAAGAGCTGCACGAGATGAAGCTATTAAGGTTGCAAGCTCACAATTTGTGATTCATTTGACGACCACGACTCGCGTCGTGAAATGCCACTCGACTTAAAAACACATCCTTAATACTTGGCTTTATGTGGGGTTTTGGGATTGTCTCTGACAAATAAAAATTACCCAAACTGTAATTTTCGCCAGTGTCACCTCTGAAAAATGCGAACTGATAGGAGCACAAATATGACTGCGACAAACATGTGAAGTTATGCATTTGATTCATCATAAAATACAGCAAGCGAACGAATAATAAAATAATTTTTACGAGTTATATGTATAATCCCGTTGAGAAAAATAATAAAGAATTTACACGCGGTAACAGTTTATTCAAAATGAAACCCATCAACAGTATGAATTCCGGTTTTTATTTTCGGTAAAATATTTAGAATTTTTGTTTGTTTGCTATCCAATTAGTTCAACGCCTGTTTTTCTTGCAACTCATTTTATTGTAACTTCAATTTTCAAATTATCGCGATGTTTAATGATATGTAGACTATGGTTAAATTTGGAAACCCGTTGCAATCAATTATGTCAAGCGCAAGGGGACGAACGTAACTTGTAACTAATCGATTTTAGATATTAGAAATTGGCCAATTAAGAGACCGACGACGCGAACTTCCGCGTTGCACATGTATGAGAGACGAGGAAGGTGCATGCTCTATATGAAAGTTAACTGGCTCTGGAAGAGTCGCTTAAAAAAAAACATTCTTCCAAGTCCCAATTAAATTTTAATGAGTTGGCGGACATGAAAATACTATTAGAAAAATTGGACCCATCTGTATCGCTATACCGCCAAATCTTCAGAATCGATGTGGTAATCGCGCCAAGCTAAAGTGATTCTTCGTAATTTCGGAATAACATCAACATTAATAAGCAAAAATGTATCTACAAATATCAAGTAGAACCCTCCCCCTTTTCAGTTATCATTGTCACCCCGTAAACACGAATGAAAAGTGTCATTTGTGTTTTGTGGGGATCTTTAAACTATTAATAACTCCTCGAAGAACTAAAGAAAAATGACAAGTCGTACTAATTAGTTGCGCGATAAAAATGCCCCTATATGTGGTATCTCATCCTTTCTCACGACGAAAGAGAAAGAGGGGAGAAAAAAACCTCGATCGTCAATCTTCCTCGCTAATAGCTCGTAAATTCCCGCGGCGAGCGAGCTCGCGCGCAAGAGAGAGAAAGAGAGAGACAGAGAGAGAGAGAGAGAGAGAAAGCGGCCAGGCAGATATTAAAATTCTGTTTGCTCAAATGTATTTCGGAGAGTTCGCTAGCCGCGCGCGATAAACGGACAACACGCTCAATCGGGTCGCCGTCGTGTCCCGCTTCGACACGTACGAGAAGCTCTACATGAGGTGGGTCGAACCATTTTGCTCTTTTCTCGCTCGCGCTATATTTCTATTTGGATTGTCAATTTCAGTTGCTTGTGTGCGTGTCTGGTCAATTCGAGAAGTTATCGATTTTATCTGTCGATTTTCAGAAAAAAATAAACAAACAAAAAAAAACAACGTTTCACTATGACCATCACAACTGTTTGTGCTACTTTGTATTATTTGTACTGGTCAAGAATCTGATCCTCACAAACGTTGTAGTTAGTAAAAATGATCGACTTACCTGATTTTTGTTTATGTTGTCAACTACGAATAATAAAAAAAGTTGTATAGTAATAACATTTAGTTGTACCAACCTTTTGTGAAAATGTCACAAAGTTTAAAATTTATCATTGAATATTCTAGCAATTTGCTAATACATGTTTTAAAATTAGCGAACTTCTAACGACGTAGTATTTTTTGAAATGTTTTATTGACTAGAAAACTGAAGCGTGACTAATCCATTGATAACTTCGTCTGTATGCAAACGATCATTTCTAATCACTCGTGCATTTAAATCTTTAAAAAGAATATCAAACCAGTTTTAAAATTTTATAAATGTCATTTGTGAAACGGATTCTAAACGAAGATAATGCATACATATAGTTATTTATTAGTTAAAGTAGAGATAGCGATCATGAAGAAAAAACTGCTGAAGCTGCCAATGCATTTTTATCTTTGAACTATTCATGGCGTAATAAATATATTTTTGTAATGGAAAGGTTATTAATTCATTTAATAAACAGACTACAAGGTTTCGCCGGGTACCAAAATACGAGTAACGTGCAAATAAAACAGCTTATTAATGAAAATAGATAAGCAACAGATTCATTCGAAGATCTGAGTAAACACTGAATACACTCTCGTTTCTATTTTATTTATTTAGTTATTTAATGAAGATCAATTACAGATTCAAAATTACGCATGAACTGTGGAAATAAAATGAGAATTCTACAAATTAGAGCGGATGTTAGTTTTAAAATTCTGCAAAAGATTCTATCTCGAATATTCACTATTTCACTGATACTGATTTCAATGCAGTGCTGCTGACTCGTTGTACAAAGCGTGAAACACATAGATACTATATTCCAATCTCATTTAATATCCATTATCGGTGATTTTCATACCGAATGACTATTCATGTATATATCAGGGCAGAGACCGTCATCAATTAACCTCGAAAATCCCAGCTATTCAACGAGCGAATTATAATTTTCTGATAAAATGATAAAGGTAAAGTTATTATTCTCGCCGTCGCATAATTGTTCGCACACGGGGTTTCAATGGCGTTATTGATGCTCTCTTTGATATAATTTATTTCGCCGAAAAAATTTTATGAATAATTTAATAATTGTGCGGGGAATAATCCAATATTATTGCGAAATTGGGTCACATCGTTTGTTAAATGAGGAATAAATTTGAAATAAATAAACAGAATGCACTACTGAATTTCGATTATTACTGTAAATATCGATTTCAAAAGCTCCCGAAAATAAGAGCCACTACTCACATATCTATTATTAATCGATGGTACGTTTTATTAAAGTATATTTTTCATCATATAACGAATGAAAAAAGATCAATGATACGTATTTGAATCATATTAATTATAAATTTTTTCAGGTTTACAAAACGTTTGTTAGCTGTCTAGTACCACCAGAAACATCCAACAACAATGCGAACTCTACTGTATGTTTTGGTGTTTGCAACCAGCGCAATGTTGGTGTCGGCAGCTAACATGGATCCTGTTTACGAATGGAAATATATAGATTATGTATGGGAATCCGATGCTAGAAGACAGCAGGCGATCGATTCTGGAGAGTATGATTTCTCTCGTATTTTACCTATGGATGTTGACAAAGCCCCAGGTAAAAACTTTAGTTTATTTTTAGAATGTTATTCACTTGCTCTGATTTGTGTCTTCCACATATTACCTCGTTCATTTACATGTTTATCGGTAATTGATTTATTAATTAGCATGACATTCCAAAATTATTATTAGAATTATTGTACTTTTATGAGGGGAATAAATTAAAAAGAATTTCAATTTATCACTAATACGTTGTAATGATGAAGAACATGTACGACATTTTTGATACTGATTGAAATTGAACATTGGAATATGGGATGAAAATAATACGGAAATAGATAATCATAATGAATGCAATACCAAAAGTATACCAGACTGTGCAATTGACATTTGCCTGATTTGATAACATTCAACTATTCACAACTTTTAATAAAAAAAAGGATGATAATTTAAATCTAATTGCTAGATGGTCGTATATTTATATCGACACTTGGAATGCATGGCGTACCAGCAAGTTTGGTTATCGTGACTGATCAAATGGGACCTTCTGGTCCTCTAGTAAAACCATACCCTGATTGGTCATACTTCAAAACGGAAAATTGTGACTCCATACAGAATGTATACAGAATAGCGGTAAGAAAGTAACTAATTGTAACGACAAATCAGTATTTTATAAAAAGTATTTTAACGAATCGACTTACAGATCGACGAGTGTGAAAGGTTATGGGTACTGGACACTGGTTTTTTGGAAGGTGAACGAATAACCTGTGAACCCCAATTGCTTGCTTTCGACTTGAAAACTGATCGTTTGATTGAAAGAATCAAAATTCCTAATCACATTGCTAGAGGTTCGAATGGTCAAACGATGCTAGCTACTCCGATCGTTGAAACTATTGGACAAAAATGTGAAAACACAACTGTAAGTTAATCCATATAACAACGTCTAAATCTAGAGATTAACTTTCGATATTCTAGGTATTCATGGCCGACCCAATGGGTAAAGGATTGGTCATTTGGAATGGCGTGAGATTATTCCGTTTGGAAAATCCTCTGTTCGGACCAACTCCGGGCGCGGAAAACATCACTTCGGGCAATTTCACAGTGAATTGGCCCGATACTGGTATTGTTACTATGGACCTCTCACCAAAGATTTTCCCAGGCGAACAAAGCTTTCTCTACTTCCACGCTTTGTCTTCTTTGGATCTTTATGCCGCAAGTACCGAAGTATTGAAACGTAGCACACACGGCATGGCTATCAAATTTTTGGGATCTAAAAATGTATTGAGCAGTCAAGCTATTGGCGTTGCTTTCTCGTCTGAAGGTACACTCTTTTTAGGCATGACCAAGGAATCAGCAATCGCTTGTTGGAATAAATACAGAGATTTGACATCGTACAACATCGTGAGTTTTGTTTTTATTTACAAAAGCTGTCTTTGTAGATCAGAAAATTATTTCTATTATAAAAATAATTGAAGGAAATATTTTTCACTTATTACACGACTGTATATTTGGTTTGATTTGAATAGTTTATTTAATGATCAAACCAATTTAATATTGGTTGTTATTTGATTTGAATTTTTGTATTATTTTCAATATTTCTTGATTAGTCAACTGAACAAAAATTATTCGTCAAGAATAAGTAATGAGCTTCATCAATAAGCTTTCCCTTATCGATTAATACAGCCAGTAAAGGTATAATACAAAAGTGTGAAAAAATTGTGTTTGTTATTCCAATTTGATAGGTCAATATCCTACATCTTCTTTTAGAATTACTTTCACTTAAAACTTACCGATCATTGTTTCAACTTTTTGCATTGCAAGAGAAATCAAACGTAACAATACCCTACCAAAGCGACTTATTCTCGTCTTTTCTAGGAAATTGTCGCTCAAGACAGCCATAGTCTAGAATACGTCAACGGACTGAAAGTCATCCGGGTGCCACACTCGAGAGACGAAGAAGTTTGGGCTCTTTCCAACCGATTCATAGCTTTCCAACTCGGTCAGCTGGATGCCAATGACTACAACTTTCGTGTACTTAAGGGTTCTGTGAAGAAACTCATCACTGGCACGTCCTGCGAGTTACCACGTAAAACTCAAAATGCACTTGAGAGTATAAACAGAGGAGAGGAAAGTGTACTCATTGTCACCGATTGAATTGTATTTTGCATTTTTACATTCAAAGAACTGTATAGCTTAGTTTAGTATTTTGCATCGTCGTTAATAAAGTTATGAATAAAATAATATTAATACTACTTAGTAATACTTGATAAACTGCAGTAAAAAACCTTTCTTTAAAATTTATTCTATTTTACTCAATTGCGGGACCTAAAGTGCAAAATGCTTTAACCTTATTGGTACTAGGTTGGCATTGAAGTGTAATGTAATACTGTGGATACTCATTTTATGTAAATATTTGCTAATTCTTATTCTTTAATCAGCTGAAATGAGTTTATAATAACTTGAGAGGTGAAAATATTAAATTAAGTAACACAGGCTTTATACCGTTACATGCATACTCACACTATAATAAATAACGCAAGAACTTATAATAAAAGAGTTAAAATATGTTTATTATTACGCAATACAGATAATAGATTACGTATTTTATATATTGTATCGATGACCGAATTCGACTAACTAATAAGACAACAGTCGAAGAGAACAACAAAATTAGCAACGCTTTAGTTTTTAATACGTTTGATATTACGGGAGCAAGTCATAACAAATCTATATAGCAATACTATTTAACTATTCTTCGATTCAACTATTATTCTTAACCAACTATGTAGCTATAAATTAGTCTAATTTTTATTTATTGATAAATTTAGAGCTCAGAAGACTACAGTTTTTTTGTATGCAATCCAAAATTCATCCACGAATGAATTATCAACGTCGTTGATTAGTTTCTATCAATTTTTTCGATCGCATTTGTTATCAAACATTTGAAATATTGTTAGCTTCGTCATATTAAAAAAATAGAAACGCGGTCTCTGCTGTGTTGTAATTGCTCTGATATTTGCTACCAATGCAATTATAGTTTCAGCAGGAGATATAGATGTGCCAACTATAAATAAAAATATGTTGTTTATATCTATGGTGTTTTAAAAAAAAGGCAATATCATTTGAAAATATTTTTAAGGTATTACTTTTCGAATCGGTAGTGTCCTAATTTTCATCAATATTATCTTATCATTTATCAATACAGATGTTCAAATATTATATTTTTTATGAACTTTTTTTCAGTTTGAAGAAACATTAAAAAATCAGATATTTAAAAAATTGAATATTTCTTTAAATTTTAGCGAACATTTCAATAGAAAAAAATGTATAACCATTTTAAGAATACAAAATTGAATATATCTTACGATTTTCACAAAGTGACAGACTGATAATTCAGGAACATTGACTAAGCAACTAATTTTTACAAAGGAACTTATATAAATTTAACATAATGAATCTGTAATCTTTACAACGTTCAAAATTTACAAAGAAAACTCGTAAAAATACCGGAGATTCGTTACAATTGCTATCATGTTATCACTGTAAATTTCACGGTCACGGTCGCGCACTTTTTGACCTTGCGCGTTTGGAAGTCATGATGAACCATTACAGCTAAACTTAGTTTGTGTTATTCATTTTTCTATATTCCTTATAAAATATTATTTTTTTTAACTTATAATTATACATGTGTGATAATTTTCATATATTTATAGAGAATCCTACAATATAATTTCAAAAATAGTGCTCTTCTGTATTAATTTGTAGTTCAATAAATTTTTTCTTTAATTAAACCTTCTCATATGAATCATTACTATATTTAAGAAAAATAACTTGATATAACAAATCTTCTGATTATGAGTTTGTTAAAAAATTATATGTGCATGTGAAAATGAAACCGTCACATGAAAATTTTACGATAACAACTGCAAAATTTTAACGTGACTGTTATCGTAAAAATTGTTCTGACATACCTTAATTTTTACAGACTCAACACTCTTGTTCCTGAATTATGATTTGTCACCGTAATTTTTACCCTGACCATCTCTGTAACTTTTATGGGCAAATGTTCTCCATGTATTGATGTTGGCAGCTATAACTATACTCGACTCATGCCAATGTACGTCCACAAGGCCAAAAGTAAAAAGAAGTTCTTGTAGTACAGGCAGAGAGAATCAAATTTTTATTCACAATAAATAAAGAAAGAATTATAAACATTGTTTGAATTTGTTAAATATAAAATATCAGATTCAAGATATAACACAAAAATCCAATCTGTTGAAAATCACAAAATATGCAAAGTCAAAAATCTAGCATGTTGCATATCTTTCTCCAAACTGCATCGATCGAACTTTAAAACTTTTCAGATTGTAGGTGGCAATCTAGGCTTTCAAGTTAACTAAAAAACATATCCATATCAAACGAAATGAATTTTGGAGAAGATCCCTGATTCGCAATCTTACTGCATATATAGTGTCGCGCGCTGGCGCAACTTCGTGCAAGCTACTGCCTACACACGCCTACTTGCATCAGTTTCGCGATCGCGACCTTGAATACGTGGTAATTTCATACGTCAAAGTCAGGGAAAAGACATATTGAATCAATATTCCGCATTAATGAGTGATAAATATTTATTAATTTTTTGAAGAAAACGATTTGTTAGAAGGTCGCACCAGAGACGCCAGGTGTCAGAACAATTTTTAGGTGTCACACTTTTACATTATAGCCTAATCAAGTATGTATGAATTTAATGTATCAAAACCTACTATATGAAATAAAATATTTAATGTTTATCGCATATTACAGCAAGGCATCTCGATACTATTATATTAAAATCATCTTGTATTGCTGTTATCACCTCGAAAGTAATATTAAGAATCCACTAAAAAACTTACTAACTAAATAATTAAAAACAATGGGAACAATCTTTTATGTTTGTTAAAACATACACAGATAAGATATATCTGTATATTATTGTATTGATATTGTAATCGTTTCAGATTATTTTTTACTATCACGTGAATTTTCTCAGATATTATAATTAAATGTGATTGAAAGGAAATATATGTATTTAATCGTACTCAGCGATTATTATTTTATGAAATACATGTGTACTTAACGGTAGTATCGTATGTGACGTAACACTAGAAACAATCATTTTTCATCTTAATTTTTTTGCCTTGTTAGAAAGGAAGTATGCAAATAGTGGATAAAATGCTGTTTGATCAAGTGCTTTAACATAAAAAGGAAACAAAAAATCATATTTTCAAAGAATAATTATCAATCAGATAACAAAATAAGCTATAAAATTGATCGAATGTTCATCAGTAAACCACTTACAAGGTATAGCCCAGAAAAGCAGCATTTTCTCCGTAGTTGGTACAAGAATCATCTACAATTACTGCAATCATTAACATTCGCTTTCTATAAAACTATATAAAATATTTTCTTACAAGTATTTCACATAATATTCAACATTGTAGGTATTAAAAAAATAGAAAACAACAATGCGATTTCAGCTATGTACACTGTTACTAGTTACTAGCACAAGTCTAGCGATAGCAGTTGATATGGAGACTGTTCATACGTGGAAGTATATAGACTTTCTTTGGCAGTCTAAAAAAATGAGACAACAGGCCATCAGTTCTGGTGACTATAATTACACTCAAATGATGCCTATGGATGTTGATCAAGCGTCAGGTAAAAGATCTTGATGGATATTCCTTATACATTTCAAAGTTTAAAAATTTTAAGATAAATGATAGATCATCAACTTTTCATAACATTTTAATTTGTATAGATGGACGAATATTTGTATCGTTTAATGGTCAAAAAGGCGTGCCTGCAGTTTTGGGAACTGTAACCAGGATAGTAAAGTATCGTTCTGGGCCATTAATAAAACCGTACCCTAATTGGTCATGGTTCAAAAAAAATGACTGCAATTATATGCAAAATGTGTATAGAATAGCTGTAAGAAAAAAAAAATATATATATATTCAATGAAAAAATAATTTTCAAGAAACTAACAGCTTATAACTTGATTTAAAGATTGACGAGTGCCAAAGATTATGGGTACTCGATACCGGCTCCAGAGAAGAGTCAAAAGAAGAGGTACGAGTGGAGTGTGATCCTAAACTGTTTGTTTTTGATTTGAAGACTGATACATTGATCAGTAAAATAATTATCCCTAAAGAATACGCTCTTGGGTCAAATAATTTGACTTTACTAGCTACTCCGATTGTCGAAACTAGTGGACATGATTGCAGTGACACAACTGTAGGCCATTTAAATATCTTCCATTCCAATTCATATTTAATACCTTTGTAATTAAGATTAATATTTGATTTTATGATTATCTAGGTATACATGGCTAATGTTCTCGGACAGGCAATGGTAATTTGGAATAATGGAAAATGGTCTCGTTTAGAGCATCCAGTGTTTGATCCAGTTGAAAGCGCAGCAAATATTACATCAGGTGGCAACACAATTGAATGGAACGCTGGCATTGTTACCATGGACCTTTCTCCTGAATTTCTCCCAGGCGAACCAAGACAACTATACTTCCACTCTTTAGCCTCTTTCGATCTTAATTGGGCAGATGCCGGAAGATTAAAACGAAGTTCCGATGGAAGTGACGTCGATTATTATAGCGCTAAGAACGTATTGAGCAGCCAAGCTGTAGGCGTTGCTTTCTCTTCCGAGGGCACATTATTTATGGGTTTGCCTAAAGAAGCAGCTATTGCTTGTTATAACAAATACAGGGACTTAAAACCGGTGAATGTTGTAAGTTTATTCGTTACTTTTGTATGTGTTGTTTTATTTACTACATGACTCAGTAACATCCTACAGATGTTTCAATACTGAGTTTTTCTTAATATTTATTTTTATTCAGAAATTTTTAATGTTCTCAAATATTTTTACATCGAGTAATCAAACATAACACTAAAGCTATTACTTTCTTTATATCCAGCAAATTATCACTCAAGACAGTAAGCGTATGCAGTACATCAATGGAATGAAAACCATTCGAAACCCAAGAACAAACAAAGAGGAATTAATAGTTATTTCCAATCGGTTAATAGCTTTCGAATTTGATAAATTAAACTTCAAAGATTATAACTTCCATATTCTGAAGAAAAGCGTCGAAGAACTCGTTGTTGACACAGAGTGCGCGTTACCAGATGAAATTCGGCGTAAGAAATACGATAGCATGAATCCAAATAATGAAGAACTTTATTTTTTTGGAAAATCAAATTCAGCTGATCACAAGAACAACAATGTGTTTAATCACGTCTATGGATAGTTGAATTACTTTATATGATACCCTTCTAAGATCATGGTTGCTTTTTAAAGTGAGAAATTAACGTCTTTTACACTACTTATCAATCCTGACAGTTGATTTCCAGTCAGCTCAGTCTATATTATCTGTGATATACAGTTCAACAGTTAATTGTCATAAAAAATTAATTATATTTTTTTAACGCATAAACTGTGCGAAATATTTCTATTTATTATCCCAACAAAGCATTTACAACTTACTCAAATACTCGGAATACTGACTAATTACACGATATCTCGCGCGATAGAAAGTCCCGTTTTAGATATCCTCCATTCTGCACGAAATATCGAGAAAAGCCGTAGTAGAGCGTTAATATTCCACATCAGAAGCTTTTAATATTCTCTTTGATACGTTTTGATACGTAGTAAACACTTCTTGTACAAGGTATTACGACCATTTGTAGTTTATCTAATAATCTGTAATATAAACTGCAAAATTTAATTTAATAAATTATCATATAAGCTTAGCTTATTTATTCACTAGTGTGGTGATTGTATTCGTTTCTTAGAAATTCAAATAGGAGGATAAATAATGTGAGCATTACGTGTCCGCAGTCAGTTTAGTCAACTTTTATAAAATTTCATTTTTAGAATAATTGAAATAAATTTTTAAAAAATGATCAAGAAGATTGCACTAAGAAAAGATATTTTTATACTTGTGCCAATAATTTAATTTCGATAGCTCTAAAAAATGTTCACAAATCGAGTATAATTCTAATCTTAATTGTGCTACTAATACTTTTGATCTCCAAATTATTCTACAACAAACGAAAAATTGAATCATATTACTCAATATTTATAAGTGAAAACTTAATAATTTTCATCTGTATTTTCTTTCAGACTTATAAAAAGTTTTCTTGCTAGTTAATATAAGGAAACAATAATGCAAATATTATCACATACTCTGGTACTTTTTACCAGTTTAATGCTGGTATCGGCCATTTCTATGGATACAATCTACGAATGGAAGTATGTAGATTATGTGTGGGGGTCAGAAGCCAGGAGAAAACAGATTATTAATACAGGAGAGTACAATGCATCTGAAGTTATACCTATGGATGTCAATAAAGCGTCAGGCAAAATATTTTATTTTATAAGAAAAATGAAAGTTATGAAATAATACATTACCTAACACAATAGCACGTTTTTAATGTTGTGCATAAAGTACGACTTTTCCACACGCTCGCTGAAAATTTTAACCTTTCCACATGTTGTTTTGTAAAATACTGTACCTAACATGTTCGGGAAAGAGATTCTCATCTAGGATATATACCTCGCATAAGATAAGAATCAACTTTTCCACATCAGTTAGATAATATAATTTACGATTACACTTTGAATTCAAGAAATCTTTGTGTTTTAAATGATGTTATCTCGATAACCATCCTTTATTTAAATATTATTCATTGATTCATATAATATATAATAATAGCATATCATAATAAATTCCTCGCTAGTAAAACCTAGTAATTTACTAACTACGATTAATTCATTATTAGATGGACGAGTATTCATATCTCTACTTGGAACGATGGGCACACCAGCATCTCTAGGTATTGTAACCGATCAAATGGGTCCTTCTGGACCTTTGATAAAGCCTTATCCTAACTGGTCATACTTTGAGAGAAACAATTGCGATTCTATTCAGAACGTATACAGAATAATGGTAAGAAAAGAACTTTCTAGCCATGAAAAATACTTTTTATGAACAACATTTTCACTACTTGATTCGCAGATCGACGAATGCGAAAGGTTGTGGGTATTAGACACTGGTACCAAGGAAGAGCAATCAATAAGTTGCGATCCTCAATTACTTGCATTTGATTTAAGAACCGACCATTTGATCCAAAGAATTAAGATTCCTACTAATATCGCTAGAGGTTCGAATAATGATACATTGCTGGCTATACCGATTGTTGAAACTCGTGGCCCCAAATGTGAAGACACAACTGTAAATCAATTGTTTTTAACTAATCAAAGGCAATAAATAATGACAGTCCGTTTGTATAAGGTTTTCATGATGGATCCAATGGGTCGTGGATTGGTTATTTGGAATAATGGAAGACTATCTCGATTGGAACATTCTCTTTTCGGTCCATCTGAAGACGCAACAAATATTACATCTGGAAATCAAACTTTGCGCTTGGCTGGTGGAATTGTTACAGGAGCTATTTCACCATCTTTGTTCCCAGGCGAGACAAGATTCTTGTACTTCCACTCCTTAGCCTCATTTGATCTTTACGCTGCTAGTACCGAAACATTAAAACGCAGTCGTGACGGATTGTCTCTCAGATTTTTAGGAACTAAAAACATATTGAGTAGTCAAGCCTTAGGAGTTGCTTTCTCTGCAGAAAGTACCTTTTTTATGGGTTTGACGAGAGAATCAGCGATTGCGTGTTGGAATCGGTATATGCCATTAGAACCACACAATGTTGTAAGTATTCTTAATCCTCTATTTCTTTTTTTGTTCAAGATAAAAATATCTTGTGTTTGATATTCCTGTAGTTAATTCTTAAAGAATAATCTATCTCATTTCTAGAAAATTGTTGTCCAGGACAACGAACGTCTACAATACATCAACGGAATGAAAATCATTGCAGTGCCTTACTCAAAAGACGAGGAGTTGTGGGTTCTTTCCAATCGTTTCTTAGCTTTTCAACGAGGTCAATTGAATTTCAATGACAACAACTTCCGAATTCTTAAAGGTTCCGTCAAAAAACTCATAACTAACACGGTATGCGAGTTACCACGGAAAACGCGACAAGCACTTGAAGATATTAACAAATATAATGATATACTCATTGTTCATGAATAAAATTTCATTCATAGTCTCATTCCTTATCTAGGCACAATCAAATATCTGTAAATGTAACTCAATATAATATCTTGTATCGATTGATGTAAAGTACAATTTGAAATTAAATATTATTATACAATTCATCAAATACTTGAAATAAAATAGCATTTATTAGCATAAAATAAAAATTATATATATTGGATTCTTTTAATTAATAACTTGTAAGTCAAAACATTTATTGGGAAATTAAATTTTATTAACTTTGCAATCAATTGAATTAAATTACGTAGACGAAAAATGGGAAATGATTTTTTATCCCGCATTCTATGATTTTTTGCCCCGTATTTTAATTATTTTACGATCAACTTTTCAGGTCAATGACACTACCACCATCTAAGATTATATTAGCCCTCATACACTACTATTTTAATTTTCCAGTATATATGTAAATTTACTCAGAAAGTTTAACCAAGAATCATATAAGATGTATATTTTTAACTAAAATTGTACACTAGTGAGTGCTTTCAAGCCTGCAATTGTTTACTGATTGGAAACATTTGTTAGTGATATTAATATCTAATTAATGCAAGTAAAACTCGAAGTGAATCAATAATTTATGTCAAATATGACGACTACTTGTAAACTGGAAAGAACCATTAGTTAATCAGTTGCAATCCTAAAAGATAAAAACGTTGTTATAATAAAAAAAAGCTTAAAAATCATCTATTTTATTTCAGTCATTTAAAAAATATTTAGGTGCAAAAAATAGAATGATGCGATTTCTAGTATGTTATTTGGTACTTGTTACCAGCATAGTGCTGGTAACATCAATGACTGATATGGATACTGTTTACGAATGGAAATATATAGATTTTGTTTGGGATTCTGAAGATATAAAGCAACGAGCCATCGATTCTGGCGAGTATGACCACACTCAAATTGTACCTATGGATGTTGATAAATCATCAGGTAACAAAAGTTTAATTTTTACGATCTTGAAAATGATAAAAATTACAGCAAAAAGAATTGAGCGTTAGTAATCATTCATGCAGTAGTAAACGATTCTGTATGAAAATATAATTATTAAAAAAAAGAAAGAAAAATAGTAACTAACAATTTAATATACATTTTTCCCTAAGACGGACGTGTATTTGTAACTTTCCTTGGAGCGTACGGTGTACCTGCGGTTTTGGGAATAGTAAGCGATCAAATGGGACCTTCTGGTCCTTTAATAAAGCCATATCCTGATTGGTCTTATTATGGACAAGGGAACTGTGACTTTATACGAAACGTATTCAGAATAGCAGTAAGAAGATATTTATCAATGAAAATATAAGAATCTTCTCGTGAAACATTTGGAAATGTAAAAAATTACAGATTGACAAGTGTCAGCGATTGTGGGTACTTGATAACGGTTGGTTAGAAAATGAATCACCACATACCTGCGAAAAATTGAATTGTCAAGCACAACTGCACGTATTCAACTTGAAAACCGATCATTTAATTGATAGAATCAAGATCCCTGACTATATTACTCATGGTGCGAATGGCGCTTATTTGCTGGCTACTCCAATTGTCGAGACTTATGGCGAACAATGTGAAGATACAACTGTATGTCAATATGATCCACCTATTCGCGATCGAGAACGTACAATTAATGGTTGGATTGTCTAGGTTTATATTGCTGATACCTATGGTCATGGATTGATAATATGGAACAATGGAAAATGGTCCCGTTTAGAAGATTCTCGGTTCCAGCCAGATGAAGGTGCCGAGAATATCACGTCAGGCGGTGATACAGTAATTTGGCCTTCTGGCATCGTAACCATGGATATTTCACCACAGATTTGTGAGACCGAGCCAAGAGAATTGCACTTCCACTCTTTAGCGTCATTCAGTCTGCACAATGCAAAAACCAATGATTTGAAACGTACTAATGATACATCGACTATCAATTTTGAAGATGGTATCGATGTGTTGAAAACTCAAGCTATAGGTGTTGCTTTCTCTTCTGGAGGTACTCTCTTTATGGGGTTAGCTGCAGAGTCGGCCATTTATTGTTGGAATAAATACAAACCATTAGAAAAGAAATATATTGTAAGTATACTTGTTAAGTCTATTATTATTTAGGAATTATATTTTTTTTACAGATAATTTGCTCTTATGAACACTCATTTATAAAAATGTTATCGTTTCTTTTTTAAAGTTATAATAGTTGTGGAATTTGTACTGGATTAATTAAGTAACTTTACATTATCATACACAGAACCACAATTATTCTTTAAACTACTAATTAGCAATGCATAATCCGTTTTACCATATAATATAACATTACTTAATGCAACAAACGTGAAAAAGTATAGAATGACCTTTTTTCTTCGCAGATAAATGTTGCTCAAGACAAAAGTCGTCTACAATATGTCAACGGAATGAAAGTCATCCGAGGGCCAACTTTGGACGACGATGAACTATGGGTTCTTTCCAATCGATTTGTAACTTGGGCAAGTGGAAATCTTGATTATGAAAAGAATAACTTCCATATACTTAATGGTTCAATTAAGAAACTCACAGATCGAACAGCTTGTGCATAACACATATAAATCAAGTTTATCAACAACGGAGAAAATATTCAGCGAACAAAATTCGTTTTATTTTTGGATTTGTTCGATTTTAACTATTTGACTTTGATAATACTTACTATAATTAATATAAAAATGTGAAATAAATATTATGAGAGCTCGATACATATCCGTTGCATCTATCTAACAATAAAAAAGGCTGCAGATTAATATTAAGTTATTATATAATTATAACAGTTACATATCAAATCTTTTGGAGATACTTAGTATATGGCATCTATATTATCAATAATTAAAAATTATAATTCAACGTTGATCATTTTGACAAAATAGCTGCAATCATCATCTTTTGTTTTTAACGCCCAATCAAAGAACACGATTACACAAAAACTATTCAACCGATTGGTCTTATATTTTGCAGTCAATTAGGTAAATTAATTACCTATAAGTAGAACCTATTACTTTGAAGCATCTTAATTTACAAAATAGTTTAAAAAAAAACTAATTATTCTAAAATTGAAATTTCTCAGATATTTTCATTTACAATATTCAATTTTGTATATTTACTTGCCATTTTAAGTTGACTATCTAGAGATTATTATAACAAAAAAATATTTTCTTCACTTTTAAATTAATGTTTTTTCAATAATAATTTATAACTCAAGGTCAAAAAGTGGGTTAAAAGTAAATACATGTTTAATTAGTTAATTAATTTAAGTTTGGGAAAAATTCTTTGCATGTTTCATCAGTTAGACTAAAGTTTTTCTCAATTTTTCTTAATACTATTAGAATCACTAATAAATTAAAAGTTGAGATTCATTTTTCCTTTTATACAATTGACATACTTTACTTACAATTGATGAAAATAAATCATGAAATGATTTCTGTCTTCTTGTCCCGCATATTTGCTTTGGAATTTACGATTTTTATAAGCAATATAATTGATTAGAAATTATTGGTATTACTTTGCCTCGCATAACCCTTTTTATTCCTACAAATACGTAAATGAACTCATACCAAAATACATTTGATTAAAATTGTCTCTTATTTTCCCGGTAGCTTAATAATAAGAACGGGAATAATGCTATTAATATTATTATTAATTAATATAATTATTGATTTTGTTAAAAAATTAACACCAATTACTGAAAAGTGAAATAACAATAACCATCATAACATTTTTTTCCAACTAAACGTCAAAGCATTTCCTTATAGAAATAAAAGTTAAGTTTTACTCTTAATTACAATGTTGTAATATCGATTTTCAATTGTATGTTTTTTTTAGCCGTTTGTAAAGTTTTCAAGTTTCCTTCTGTAACAACAAACAATGTGATTCCTACTATGAGGGTTTTTAATCGTTATCAGCATAATAGTAGTGTTAAGAGATGGTACTCAGAAGCTAGTATAAACAGTAAGACATCGATACTAACGAGTATAGAAAAACTAAAATTGTACCTACGAAGACTAACAAACCATTAAGTAATAAAAATATTACGTATGAAATTTTGAAAATTATGCTATTAATAAAAGATGGAATTCAATATGAATAAGAACTCGAAATTTTACGTAAATTTGAATAATTAATACTTTTCAATACTTGCATTTTATGTTATATCTCTAGAAGTATTATAATGTCTTCATATTTCTTCTTACCAATTTAAATTAAATCATAGAGATCTAGTTATTAAGAATAATTTTACGATAGAAATTAATCAATATTTATATCTTTACTTACTTTCTATAAGGTACGACCAATTATGACAATTTTAACCAATTTTATTGGACCATCAACACCTTTACTAAAACCATACCTACATTCATTATTCTATAAGACGGATAAATATAAATATCTGAAGAACATATATTGACCGTCGGTAAAAATAAGCTTATTAAATTATAATGTGAAATTACACTCGCCACATTTTCACGACTTGATTTTAAAATCTATAGATGAAAAAGATTACGAATACTCTATATCGCTAAAAGTAAAACCCTTGAAGAAAAAGGAGAATTAATTAATTACAACACTCAGGTGAAAATTTTCCATTTCAATACGGATCAACGGATCGTTTGATTCAAAGAATTAATATTCTTGAAAATACTCTATAGACTTCTAGAATGTGATACTTTTTAGTTTTGTACACTTAAAAGTCCCTATACCTTGAAAGGCTAACAGCCGGTATGGCTTACGAGATACCTCAAGAATTTCGGTATACATTGCATTGAAAAGGACGACGATAAATCTTATCCACGAAATCGTTACTTTTAATCTACTGTTAATCTTGTTACGAAATAAATGCAGCTTATCAATTCTATCAATTAATATTCAATACACATATTATAGGTTATGGGTTCTGGATGCCGATGGTCTTGTAAATAAAACCCTCGAAGCCTAGTTAATTGCTTTCATTTAGAAAACAAACCATTTGAGACAAAAGATTAGAATAGACAAAGAATTAGAATGTCCAAACAATATGCTATAGGCAAATATGACGGAACTTATTATCGACTCCAATTGTTGAAACTCATGGTAGTAAGTGTAAAGACACAACTGTAAGTCAGTATGATCCACATAATTGAGATCCAGATCGTATGGCTAATTGTCGGATTTGTCTGGGATTACATGGCTGATGCTTTCGGAAATGGAATGGGCATCTCGAACAATGGGAAATTGTCTCGTTTAGAATGTCGTCTGTTCCAACCAATTGAAGAGGTAGCATTTATTACTCCAGGCAACGTTACAGTAAAGTGGGATTCTAGCTTGGTTGGAATAGCCATTACACCGAAGCCCTTTGCAGGTGCGTTAACGTTTCTATATTTCAGCGAATTATTTTCTTTTCATCTTAATGTAGCAATCATCAACGACTACAAACGTAGAATCGATGTGGCATTGATTTTTTTGTTACGAAACATGTACTTCATAAACAAGCTGTAGATATAAGGCTTTTTACGTTGAGACTGCTCGATTTATGACTCAAACTAAGGATTTAATCATTATCTGCTAGAATAAGCAGAGCAAAATGAAGCCTAAAAATTTCGTAAATTATAATATTGTTAATGAATAACTCGCAATGAAATCGATGCAGGTTTTATGTTTCAAAATAATACACCTTCATTTTATCCAAGTACAGCATCGAATCTACTCCTTTAATATATTATTAAGCAACGATAATATTAAAATAAATATAACGTCCAAACAACATAATTAGTATTTTTCAACATATTAACGAGCAAAATGATATCCGTCTCCAATGCGTCAATGGTGTGTCAAAATTTAGTTGGCAACAAAATCGGATTATCAAGAATGATTAGCTTTTTTCAATTGATTTTCAATTTCCAATTAACGTAAATTGAACTCCACCGATTATAACAATCATGTACTTTCAAGTTCCGTAAAAAAACTTCTTGCAAGATACCAAACGAATATTTCATCAAGCCGTGAGCTTCAATAGAGTGGTATAATTCACTCGTTGAGTTGCTTTTTCTAAGTATCATAAATTATGGTCGAGGTGCGAGCTATTTGCTAATTATCTGAGTAGTGTGTGATGTGGCTGTCACGTATTATTGCAAATAACTGGCGGTGCTTAATAAAAGACACATATCCATTGTAATCTGGAATCATTAGCTGTATTGAAGTGAAAAAAAAGACTTCAAAGGCTGTCTTGCTCGCATTCATGCGTATAACATTACACGTAATAAAGTGAGCGCTTACACACGTACTCGCCAGTCGTGAAAGTGCATCAACCCATTATTACAGCAGTTGCGCAAAAGTTTTGCGAGCGCAATTTATTTAATAAGGTAACCTTGCAACAGCACCACAATTATTCATCGTCTCGTGTTTTGAACTGCGGACCCTTAAAAGGCAACTGGCGCGCGCAGAGCAAAAACATCAATCATAGAATCGAGTTGCACAATACTCCCAAACAAATTAACGCTTGCTACGCTCTTCTACTAAGACTTGTCAACGTCGAGGTAAAGAAAAAAAAATCAGACGTTTGATACATAAAGTGAAAGGCGCATAGAAGGCAGTGTGGCGTTGGCGACAATGACGAGAGAGTATATATAGTGCAAAACTTTCCTTATCTTGGCAGATGAGAGAGAGAGAGAGAGAGAGAGAGAGAGGGAGAGAGAGAGAGATGGGAGAGGGGAGCAGGATGAAAATGACATGCGCACTTCCCAGTTTTCTCTAAAGCCACTTTAACCTCGTCCTTTTACTATGGCGCGCTTTACGTAATCGCTTCTCGCAGCTAACTAACAATTCACTCGCGCGCACCTTCGCCAGTTTCCTCGTTCCTCCCATTTTTTTCTCTCACGCGATTGTTACTTTTTTATACCTTTAATTGCTTGTGAAAATAACGTAACGCTCATTGCGTGACGTCATAAAAATCGTCGTAAATGGCACATTGTTTTCGTTATCGATAGGCGGCATACAGCACTTTTGACACGTTATCGAGGTTGCCTTTTTCTTTATCCCTCAAAGTGTTTAATTAAAAGCAATATTTCAATCCGACGATTGGCGCAATGAGCTTTACGCGTCGCGCAAGCCGCGAGCAGACCACGACTACGTTCCTACGAGAAATGTCGTTGACGGTCGAAGAAAAATACTTTTGGACGCGGACTGCGTGCAACTGCGCGCGACAATATCAACGAGAACCATTGCATTTTGTACGGTTGGAAAATACAGCGGCAATCGTCGACAACAAAATAATCCACACAAGATCGCCTCAACCGACAGCAGGCCGAGCACCGAATTCAATTTGAGAAGTCCGCGTGCAACAACTTTTCGGCTCCGCGAACGGTCGAACGGAGTGCAGGCGCAGAGTCCGATCTTCGTGCCGGATGCGGAAAGGGAAAAGCACGAAAATCGCCGATAACGAACGTACGCGAGAAGGTTAGTAAACCGATCGAGCTCCAGCCAGTACGTACGCATACATTAAGTGGGGCATGGTCAGTCAGCTGCCGGCGGTATTTGCTTTCTCTATTGCCACTCCCGCGGTCGCGATTATTATTGTGCTCGGTGTGACCTTAAGCGCGTATTCTTTGGCGCGCGCGCGCGAAATAGATGTTCCGCGTCTTATTCACGTCCGTGCACGAGAGGTGCGTTTTGTCGTTGCATCGATGGACCCGAAGGATTAATAATTGTTTGCTCGATCGAACGCCCAAGCAGAGAAAGTCGTAAGTGCAATTATATAAATTTATTATTCAACAGCTCCGCGGCCGCTGTAATAACAATGTATTTTATTCGCCTTCGGGAAGTTTCTACTACGATTATTCTACGGTCGTATTATTTGCTTTACGGTCAGTTGCTGCTGGTCTGATTATATGCACTTTGACGTTTATTATTCATCGCATAACTCTCCCTTTCGTTTCCGATTAACAAAATAAGTCGTATCCCGTACATACATAGCGCAATGCTTGATCCTCAAAAATAGCTTCGTTCTCCTAGTGTATGCTGCATGCGTAAATTTATGACATTGTTGGCTTTATGTAGGTCTTGTATTACACATCGCTGGCTGTCATGATTTCATGTTGTATTTAACTTTTGATCGAATGCACATTATCATCATTAAATATTAATAACCATCCTCTAGGACAGAAATCATTGTTCCAAAATAATTCAAATTTATTTTGAATAATAATATACCATACGTCATTTGAATTATTCAATATATTATTAATTAAAATGATGATTATATAAGCTACGGAATTCTCATTGTAACTGTCCAACTCAAGCAGTCCGCAAAATTACGAAAAGCAATTGAATAATAAACATATGATGTCACCGGGAAAATAAATAAAAAGACGGTATAAAAATTCACGAAATATGTGTACATCGGTTCAAACAACTTTTCAACATTTACATAACTCGTGAAACTATAAGTGCAACCCAAATTTTCCTAAAGTACACTAATAATAATAACCTCGCACATCAACCTTCCACGTTGATATATTTACCTCTAAAAGAAAAAAAATTTTCTAATAATCTCGTAGGTAATAGCGATCATTAGGGAGTAAGACAGCAGAAAAAAAAAAGAAAAAGACGTAAGTTTCGCAAGACCCCTATTCACATACACGCGCGCGCGCGAAAAAAAATGATAGTATAGCGTTGAAATTGCACCGGTAAAAATAGGAGCTTTGTCGTGGAAATTTTCGCAAGAGAAGGAGGAGGAGGTAGCAAAGGCGAAAGGAGTCGGCGGAAAGTAAAGCTAAAAAGAAATGCGAGAAGTGGCCGGGGCGAGAGAGAGAAAGAGGGGGGGGGCGGTGATTTTTTGTTGTTGCCGCGGCCGAACACGCTGGCTGTATGCACACTTTCCCTTCCTCGCCGCGCGAGTCGGGAGAGTGAGCGCGGCGAGATCTAGATGCGCTCGCGCGCGCGTACTTGATAACGACTATACGCCAAATGCCTCTCGACCAGTGCGCAGGCTGCTTCGTGCGCTGCGGCCACGGACGAAACATGTGAATCATTTGCCTCCTCCCCGTTGATAACCGTAACAACGACTCGATTATTTAGTGAATTTTTTAGACTGCGAGGATGATGTCGAAAGTGTGGTTAATTGTTGTCGCGTTGGTGCTCGCGGCTAAGGCAAGTAATGCCGAGTTGCAGACCATTCACGAGTGGAAGTACATGGACTTCATGTGGGACTCGAAAGAACATAAGTTGGACGCTGTCAGAGCTGGCGAGTACAATTCCTCGCAAGTGTTGCCTTCTGACATTGCTGTTGCTAAAGGTTTGTTATATCAGAGGAGTTTTCGTATGTTTATATAAAACGCGATAAACAAAATGATATATTTATATATTCAACAAATCCTATCGATCATCGTACGTAGACAACAAAAAAGTCATTAGCGAAAATTTCGAGCGCACCGACACCAATGTCAATGTTGACAATGAGATCGAAAAAGAATGTTACAAAACGCACAGCAAGATCTACCTGTTTTTTAATTTGGCAACTGACAAAGATTATATCACGTCTATACATAATTTTTTATATGTTGTATGACAGTTTTTCAAGTAAATGCAACTTTGTCGTGTGAGGTCCTTGCCATAACAGACTATATAAGTAATCGTACGAATTATGTAATAATGGGGATATAGTAAATATAAACTTCGCTTTTTTAATGCATACAACATATTTTTCGCAATTGAGATGAAACGTATAAATTTCACAAAGAGTTATCCATTTACACATTCGGAGCTGGATTTAGATCTATCCACGATGGATCGATTTCTTTTATACTTATGGCTTTTCATTTTTCTACACACAATTTACAGTGACCATAAATAGCACAAACCATTCAGAATTGGTTGTTTTATTAAATTTACCAAATAAGTCGTATCGTAACATAATGGAAAAACGACATGTAATCTCAAAGCAAACTTTATTAATGGAAAAAGTTGAAAACAAATAGAAATTATCATATGGGATAAAATGTTGATATAAATCATTAAATCATTGTACCGAGAAAATCATTGTATTGAATAATTATTTCCTTAAAAGTTGTTTTATTAACTTCTAAAATAAAATCCAGATTGAAATACATTATTAAAAATAGTTTTTATTATTGAAATTTTCTCTTGGTTTTCTTCTGTAAAAATGTTTTATTTTATCTCCCTATATCGGTAGATTGTAATAGGTCATTCCAATATGAATGAAATATGATCACTGTTTTCTGGATATATAACGTTTTCAATGACGGACATTTTCATTATGTAAGACATTTGTATATTGAACATTAATATCTTGAAATGCCGACTTACCGAAAGGTCAACAATACAGAAAAAAATATGAACATTTATTGGTTGGGAACATGTCGATCGGTATGTATCTGTAATCTCAAAGAAACTTTCTAAAAATTAACACCCTCGTATATGGTGACTTAGTGATTCTAAAAGTCGTTTTGAATTGGTTAAGGATTTGCTATGATTATTTTTACGCTTTGACATCATCGCACGACTTTCCAGTCTTTGCTTGGATCTAGCTTTGTGCAAACCCTTTTTATAAAGTAGTCATCTTCAAAAAGTTTTATCGAACGGTGATAAAAATGACAAATAAATTTTTGCCCTTCCGATGGTGAATAACTCTAAAATCGATTATTAAAGCCTGATCTTACTAATCTACCTATTACAGTACTTACAAATTTAAGTATTCTAACGAAAAATTCTCAAATTTAATTACATTGAATTTTTTAGATACTATACTAATTTAACGTCTCTGCCTTTTTTCCAAATTAAAAATTTCCTCATTAAAAGATAACATTTGACCTACTTAAAATCCACGTATTCTTGCAGATAAAACTTACAAACGTGGGATTCCTAGTTATCTACATTTTCCTTGAGGATTATAAAATTAATTGCGCCCCTGAAATTATCATGCTAACTACAGTCATTACAAAACACTTCCTTCGCAGCTGCCGGCAAAAAAAAAACGGAACACACACACGCGCACACACGTGGCTGCGTAAAACCTACTTTTACTTTAACGACTTAAGAGAGGGGGGTGGGGGTGTACCCGTAGATTATATGCTGTTAGTGCATGGGTATTTAAAGATTATTAGTTTTGAATAGAGACAATGTCGCATACTTAACAATCGCATTAAACTGTAGTCTATGCTTATACTCACGATAAAAATCAATGCTGCACTTGAGTCCCACGGCTACTGCCGCTCACCTGTAACAAAAAAAATAACGCAACTTTCGTGAAACTCGCAATGTAACTAATCAATGTTTTCCATTCATGTATTTGATTTGAATGAAATTGAGCGTTAAGGAAACACTATTGAAGCAATCGACCTTACCGCGCGATCCTTAAAAACATTCATAGCAATAATAATAATTATTATTAGGCTTCATTGTTGATCGTGTTAGAAAGACTTCTCCTATAATTAGATCTCGCTAGGCTTTTCATTTCATAAAAGAGTAATTTGAAGCCTTTAAGATAATCTCGCCAGCTTTCATGCAAAACAATCGACGTTATCTTGTGAAAGAAGCAAAGATATCAAGCTTTTCATCGAACAAAAAACAAGTGTCATAACCCAGAGGAAAAGGTAAAAAAAAGACTGACCACCTGCAGATTTCATAATCCCAACATCGACACTTCGAAGGTCCGACATACACACGCCTAATTCATAAATCAAGCCATTATCTGTGTAAAAGCCCGTTACGCCATCGATCGATATATAAATGTTAACCTTTTCTTTTTTTTCTTTCTCAACCAGATGGTCGAGTATTCGTATCACATATTGGTTACCAGGGAGTACCGGCACGACTAAGTACAGTCTCGAGTCGTGTGTCCGAGTCATCAGGACCTTTACTGTCACCGTATCCTGACTGGTCGTGGCATGCCCGAGGCGATTGCAACGGCATAACCAGTGTGTACGGACTCGCCGTAAGTGTGCATCCTTTTTTTCCGCGTGTGTGGCCTGCAGGCACACACGGAACACTCGCTTTGCCAACTTTCATTCATGTGTGATGACTTGCGATGACGAACAGGTGGCTTCATAAACCTGTCCGGCTTGCCTTTCCTACACATGACTGCAATGTTTGTTCTTTGATTTTGTTTCCTCGAGAGTATCGAGAATTTCACCGTGGTATTGCTGCATTTATATTTTTCGCCGACTAGATGTCGACATTGTAACTAAAATTACGAGAAATAGGAATACAGTTAAATTGCGTATTGAGATTTTTGCGCATGTAAAAATCTGACTTCCTTAATGCTAATATTGAAGAAACTCGACGAATGAATTTTAAAGCTATTCTCGCAATCAGTAAACGCGTAATGCTATAGCATTAATTGAATAATTTTCTATAAATAAACTGAGCCATCGATTACCTAGCACTTTCTAAACGTGTATACCGTAAATGAAATTAAATTGAAAAGAATTACGTACGAATGAAGGCAGAAAAAAGTCATCACACGTCTTGCAAGATAATAATAAAGAAAAGAGAGAGAGAGAGAGAGAGAAAGCTTTGTCTTTTATATCCGTACAATACGAGGGCAGTTTTCTTTAGAGGCAAAAACCAATTTGATTTTGACAGATCGATCAATGCAACAGGTTGTGGGTTTTAGATACGGGGATCTTGGAACATACGAGACAGCAGCCATACGCTCGTGGCTGCCAAGCACAACTATTAGCCTTCGACTTGGCCAGGAACAAACTTGCCAAAAGGATCAAGATACCAAATCACATTGCTCAAAATGATCAGGGTATGACGCGTCTCGTCAAACCCATCGTCGAGACCAAGGGCCAGCAATGCGATCATACCACCGTAAGCCACGTTTCTCTCAAATATTAACCGAATCACGCGCGCCGCGAAGCTTTTCCAAAGCGCTGGATAATAAATAAGCGAGAGCGATTTCGGGAGGTCACCCAGTCACGGGCTTGATCCCAGTAACAAAAAGCCGCTTCTTATTCGGACAGGCATGTCTGACAAATATGACGGAACGTGACGCAAGAGGAATCATTGTTGTACGCGGGCCCTCCAGTACAATTAGATCGCACGCGACAAAAGTATCATTATCAGGCTCAACCGACAATTGCGTTATTTGCATGACTTGACGCGTTTAGAAAGTTGGCAGCTCATGAAAGTCAGAGCCACGGATTTTCGCTGAAATAAAAAGAAACCAAACGGCACACTTTCTAACTCTACGACTGCGCAGGTATACATGACGGACTCCGTGGGCCACGGCCTGGTAATCTGGAACGGCATCGGTCTGTTCCGCCTGGAAGGTGAAGTTTACAATCCAATCGACTCGGCACGCAACGTCAGCGTCGGTCATCACAGCTTGAGCATCGGCGGCGGTGTCGTCGACATGTCACTCTCGCCAATTATCTTCCCGTACGAGCCTCGTTATCTGTTCTTCCGACCACTCGCTTCCTACGATCTTTACGCTGCCAACACTCGTGAACTCACACGGAGTGTTTACGGATACAGAATTAAATATTTTGGCGCCAGAGATATACTCAGTAGTCAAGCTGTTGGACAGGCTTTCTCGTCTGATGGTACGTTGTTTTTGGGATTGACTAAGGAGACTGCCATTGCTTGCTGGAATCGATATAGAGAGCTCGCTAAGGATAATATTGTGAGTATGCTCTTTTGTTTTCTGTTCTGAAAAACAAACTTGTCAATTTGAGGATACGCAAAATATAACGATATAATTTGAAAAACGTGGTCTTGAGAAGAATGTATTTCGGTTTTCGTTAGTTTTTAGATATCTTTTACAAACATTTTCCTTTCTCTTTTTAACTTTACAAGGACTGCTTTGCGTTAAAATTTCAATCTATTTGCTCGTAATATTACAGATTTTCTCAGTCTCATAGCAGAAATATCAATTTGTCAAAGTTCTCTCATAATTTATCATTTAGTGAAGCTAATACAGACATAAATACAAAAGTCTTATAAATCGAATTATGCCGTTACTCTTAATTAAGAATAAGATACATCCTCTTAATAAAGACTCCTTCCAGAAAAGAAATGTGCAGCGAATTTAAGAACTTGATTCTTTGAACTTTAGAGCTGCAAACTTCTTTTGAAAAATAGGTCTTATTATGTCAACTGATAATTGTAAATAATTACAAAAAAGCAAACAAGTTTTTAAATTTGCTGTATATTAAAAATAACAAAATGTTATTGATTATAAACAAGCAAACGCAAGTAATCAATCCTCATAAACCGCAAAATAGTAAAAGTGGTTTACGTATACCTAAATATCATTTATTTCAATAGCTGCACGCAGAACGTAAATTGCAATGTAGCCAGATACACGAACAGGAAGTGTACGGAAAGAACAGAAAAATACAATCAATAATTGATACATGCGTGCATTATATTTCACACTGTCATTGGCTTATCATAAGCAGACAGCGAAGAAATCATCTAGCCGTGTGTCGGCTGACGCAACGGGTATTTATACGGGCATTGTCTTTGCAAGAAGCGTGGTCGTCGTGGATTTTTTCGCTTGTACGTGTGTGGGCGTTACATAAAGCCGCGCGAGGCCCTCGTAATAAAGTCGATTCGCGTCAAAAAAGAAAAAAAAAGAAAACAGAAAAAGAAGAAAGGAAAAAAGTATTCTTCCTGGTAGCAACAGCACACTTGTTGTGAGAGGATGTGTATATACACGTGCGAGTCGTGAGTGAAAGCTCTCTCCGTTTCTTATATACACACTGTAAGGAGATGATTTAGACTGGGAGATCGAATAACCCGTGTTATGCCTTACTTTTATTATTCGCCGCGTGTGTTTATACTTCCGCGATTATTTCTTTCGCTTTCTCGAAAGCCGCTCGTGAAGGATTTTCTTTAAGCGTACATATTGATTTACGGAGAAATTTTTCCGCGCTGGAAAATCGCTTGTGTAATTTAAAGCAAAGATGGACAGGCCTTTAAAGCTTAGTTATGCCGTTCCAAGAGTCTTGAAAACTGTTAACGTTGTTTCCTCTGCGTAACGAAAAAAAAAAGAACAAAAAATCTGTGAATTTTCCAGGAAATCGTGGCTCAAGACGCAGAGCGACTGCAGTACGCAAACAGTCTTAAAGTGGTGCCGAAATCGATAACAAAAACTTCGGAAGAACTGTGGGTGCTGACCAATCGATTTCTGTCCTTTCAACTTGGACTATTGAACTTCGATGACGTAAATTTCCGTGTAATGAAGAGCCCCGTGAAAGATCTCGTGGAGGGCACAAGGTGCGAGCTGCCTGCACAACTTAAAGCAGCACTTCATAGGACCAAGGCTAACTTGTACAAATATCCTAAGTGATGATATACTCTAATTTTTTTTTTTTTCGTTAGCTAGCTTATAATATGTATTTACAGAATAGCTAGTTTAAGCATGATTCCTGATTAATTTTATATGTAATTGTGATATGTGTATTGCGTATTTTATTATGTATCCATCATATCATTCATTTATCATTGATGCATTAATTTGTCATCATTCAATCGAGTCGATTAATCTTCTGATATAGTTTGATCGGATCATTGATCATTGAAAATTCAATGGTTTACCATTTCGCTCAAATCGTTTAGACAGCAATCGAAATAAAATGAAATGATATCAAAAACTCGACATTTTCATCGGAACAAGAATTAGGTTATTTAGTTTGTAATTGTAGGTGAACGTTAATAACATTGTATAGTATTGTAATAGTCGAAGGGCGAACTGTTCTCTCTAAGCAAATAAATATAGATGAAAATATCCAAGGTAACTTGATTCTTGTGTCCAGCGACCGTTCCATTAAAAATTGCACGCTAATTTGCTCGACCGTAAAAGAAAGAGGAGCGTTACGCGAAGCAGTCGCTCGCGGTCGTAAATTTCTGCGTGCGGCATTAAATCTCAATAACACGCTGTCCGCCCGTCTCATTAGCTGCTACAATCGAGTTGGCATCTACGCATCGATCTGAGCTGAGGTGGCCATTCATTTCTCTCGCTCGGCTAGAATTGCGAAAGCAACGCGCGCACTCGAGAATTCGATCTCTATGTACACGCGGCGCGGCTTAGAAAGTTTTTTAATCCCGTTTTAAAAGCCAAACTCGCGCGTTTATATACATATATATATATATATATATATATATATATATATATACATATACACATGTATGTATACATGTATGTATATATAGCTTATATGGAGCGAATGCCGCCGTTGCTGCTGCTGCTGCTGTACGTTGCGCAAGATCACGTGGATTTTTGGGCCGAGAAAAAACTGGACGACCAACGTTTTTCACAGAAAATGAAAACGGGAAACAGAGAAAGAGAGGGCCTGATGAAACCTTCTAGATTCTTTTATTTTCCCCGGCAATGAGATTCTTTTTTGTTCATAGCCTCAGCGTAAAAATGAAGCAAGTGTGTTTAGTCGAATTAAAATGTTTTCAGCTCTGAAATGAATTATGAAATTCGTTTTGTTCGTTCTCATTTTTTATATGAATATGCTCTACATAATTTATAAGCTCTAGTTATGAAATCTCAATCTGGCTTTATGAAAAATTCAAATTGCCTTTGTCAAAAATAATCTTCAGAGAGAAGGAGATTGAACACGACTGTAAGTAAATTTTGTAAAATGTAATAGGATTAAAATTGACATTAGATAAGAACTGAATCATTCAACAAAATGAATTAAAATTATTTCAACTGCTTCTTTACGACCGCGAAGTATTTCACCAAATGTTCTCAATGAATTTTAAAAATATAAAGTGATATAATTTTCAATGAAGTTCATTTTGAGTTTATTTTTCTATCGCGAAAGTTTAAAATTTTTTAACGAACGAAGCTTTACTTTTGAATAAAAAAATAATTATGAAAAATAGTACTATTGTTGATAAAGAATTGTTCTTTTTTAAAAAACAAATTAGATATATTTTTGTATTTTACAATTTAATACTATGTATATGATTCGATATAAATTTGTTCTATTTAATTTAACACGGCGGAACCAATAATTCCAATAATTGGCTAATTCTATATTCGTAATCAGTGACACGAAAGTTCATTAGCTAGCATGTCGTGGTACTTTTAATGAAAACTCTAACCGTGTATTTAAAAGAGTTAAATGAAAAAGTACAGAATTCATATGGAAAATCCATAACTGGCAGTCTCTCTTTTTAAAAAAGAAAAAGAACGAATGGAGAGAGGGACATGAGAAGAAAGTGGTGTGCACGCGGACTTACATACATCGGAAGCGATAACAGCTGCGAACACGAAGGGCGAGAACACGAGAGCGTGAGCAGATGATCAGAGCAGTTGCGCGAGAAGGCAAAAGGGCATTAACATCGGCTGCCAGTTCCAGTATCTTCTCTCTCTCCCTCTCTTTCTCGAATCGTATGCAAATCTCTGGCGGCTTAATTACGCGAGCACGCCTACTATATGAGGCGAAGGAGAGAGAGAGAGAGGGAGAGAGAGAGAGAGAGAGAGAGAGAGAGAGAGAGAGAGAGAGAGAGAGAACGCTAACCGGAAGCCGATATATTTTACGCCGATAAGAAGAAACTACCTATGGAATGGCCCCCGTGAGGAAAGCACTGAACCACCGACGATCTCTGACTTCTCCCTCTCTCTTGCTTTATTTGTCGGATATAGAGATTATGTATGTAGAACTGCGATGCCTCTCCTTCGCCTGCTCTTTTCCTCTTCTTTCGTATTATACCCGACGATAATCCCAAATATCCATTTGTTATAACGCAAACGATGCCAGCGATAATCCTAATATCCACTTTTTCAAAGGCCTTTCCATGTGCCGCCAAACGCACACAATCGTCGCCGCACGCGCAAAGTTTTTTTAATAAACCGTAGCCTGCGTAAACTGACAGCGCGTTAATTACGGCTCAATTGTCAGCGCATTAATTCTCAAGCGGCGGCAAACACACAGCCGACGGCGAATAATAATATCCATTTTCCCGTCCTCCTGCCACCCCTGTGAGAAAAAGAGAGAGAGAGAGAGAGAAATACAGTTTAATGGCATGAAATTTTCGGGGTTGGACTTTATTGCGAGCACGTCGTTAAGCCCGTGACAAACGTCTCTGACGTTGTTGCTTGTTTTCCTTGTTGTTGTTTTTTCTTTCGCGCGAGAATGACACTCTTTGTCAATTTTAATTGACGCTGCAGCAGCAGAAGCTGCGATAATAACGGTCGGTGCCGTCACGCGTTCGTCGAAAAATTGCGGCTGCTGCTGATAGAAAAGGACAAAAACGTATAGATATATCTCTATTTATGTTTGAGAATGAGCTGTAAGGTTGAAGAGATCAACAAAAGTCGATCGAGTTTTATAAAAAGAAAACTGTAATTAGCTTAGCATATGATTCGATTGAACGACTTACTTACGCACTGGCAACTATGAGATGCTTCGACGGTGTTATCGGTTTATTAACCAAAGCTACACTTTGAAATGCTGCCGCGAAAAATACAGTAAGGACTTATCTTTCCTTTTCAAATGAGTTTCTAGGCGAGATTAGATTTAAAAGTTATATCAGTATGTAAAACTGATTCGCGATGATCTACACGTCAAAAACAAGTATTTTAGCGAGAACTGGCAATCGATAAATGTGTTGCAATAACAGTAACATGTTAATAGTTTATTATTACAAATTGAAAACACATTTATCATTCTAACGTAACAACCAAGATAGAAAAAATATAATTTCTTTCGACATTCTAAACTGCCATCTTAATCACAGCGATAGGATCGACCGTGAACTCAACTGACCCTCCAATATAGTAGAAAAAATATGCCTGTAAATGCGACCTTCGCCAAAACCTCAGCCTGTCCGACTTATCGAGCTACCTAACACCACCAACAACGAATTCATTATGCAAATTACGCTGTGGAAGCTTTCGTCGCTTGTCGTCACAAAAAAGCTCTTTAACGCAATAACAGGCCATATAATCCAGGAGCCAAGGGAGGTTTCGTGGCCGATGGGGTTACGGGTTCCACCCAAGCGCATTTTATGTATTTTGCTCATATCAAAAAATGAACGGCTAATTAGATACAAACAAATTATATTAAATTTATTAATCATCACTTGTTCTTTAAGAATTGTATATTGTTGGCCAGAATTTGAGGTACTGAGATTCAAACAGTAATACGGCATTGTTAGGCAGCGCGACGACAAATGAACGGTCAACAGAACCGTTGAACTAAAATTACAATACCTCAAGGTTTATTCGACGCTTTTTAGATATAAAAGTCTATACAGATTCATTATGAGATGAGTAATGCATGCTGGTTTTCAAAATAAGTTGGCAAGTTGATTAACAAATGAACTGTAACCAATGAAGCAATTGCATTGTCGATAACTAATTATCTGTAGATTTTTGAGCTAGCCACCATCGAAATTTATGTTCGGAGTAGCTTGAAATACATAAAGTGCACTTGGACGGAGCCAGTTACCTCTATCGGCCACGAGAGCCCCCCTTGGTTTCTAGACTAATACACGAAGATAACAAACGACGAATCCTATGAGATACATGTGTTCGGGATCACGTGTCGATCTGAAATTAGAGATAGCGAGGGGAATTGGAGAGAGAAGAGAGCGAAGGCAAAAATCTGATTACAGTTCGCGCACAAGGCGTGGAAATATATCTGTGCCACATTCGTCAAATTGCTCGGTTATTAGTTTTTGCGTTTGTTGGATGTATTTACGAATGAAAGCCGAAATGTTTTGAATGATTAATTTTCAAAGTTTTTATTTCAAGTGAATGTATGTATGAATGAACTTTTGCCTTATCTGGTGACAGTCCATATGATTTGTACGATTAATTTATCAAGTTTTCAATCCGTGAATTCATTCAGTTGATTTTACAGAAATTAATACCGATACTGTTAAGATTTATCCGTTGAACAACGACACACGATTCAAGAACAAGCTTAAAACACACAATAATAAATACACCAACGAGGAAGTAGAGACGTCGAATAGATGAGGAAAGACAGCTTTGAAATTCAAATGTAAATCTTTTGGAGGGGGAGTGACTCCCAACTCGCGCTGCACACAAAACACTGACGAAAGATTAAGCCGATCGAATCGCGAAGAGGAAGATAAATGTAAGGTTCGCATGTAATTTCGCTCTCCCTGCTCAGCAACGAGCGAACGAGCGAACGCGAAACGAAATGAAATAACGGAGGGAGAGAAAAAAAAAGATTCTATCGCGAGATCTCGTGAGCCGCTCGTTTTTGATAAAGAGAGCAACTGTTAACTCCTCCTCTGCTGGTAATGCACGTGTACTTACACGCTTTATTCGAAACGGAGAGAGAGAAAACTGAGATTGCTTTCGCCAAGAACTTTTCGTATTATCAAGTACGATGGCAGACGTTTGACTGAGTTTGATGATTATTATGTGTATTTTCTTCTTCTTTCTTTACTGCTTTAGAATTCTTTTATGCGCTCAAGCTCAATGTTGAAGCAATGAAAAGTCTAAGAAATTATTGCAAAATAAAACCTAATATAATACAGATATTTTATATCGTCATAGAAAATTGCGGAACGAAGTAGACGATAATAGTGAGGTCTTAAAATGAGTGGTCTTAATTATACCGTAATCTCATTGCGATCTTTGCAATAGAGTTTATGAAAATATCCTTGAGTTTTTAAAAAATATAATTCAAACACATTTTTAATATTGAAATCGTCTCGAAAATGTCTAATGAATTTTGGAATTTTTGGGG